CCGCCTCATGATTCAAGAGACAGACGTCCGCCCTATGATTCAAGCGACTCAGGACCGCCTCATAATTCAAGAGACAGACGTCCGCCCTATGATTCAAGAGACTCAGGACCGCCTCATGATTCAAGAAACTCAGGGCCGCCTCATGATTCAAGAGACAGACGTCCGCCCTATGATTCAAGCGACTCAGGACCGCCTCATAATTCAAGAGACAGACGTCCGCCCTATGATTCAAGAGACTCAGGACCGCCTCATGATTCAAGAGACAGACGTCCGCCATATGACTCAAGAGACTCAGGACCGCCTTATGATTCAAGAGACTCGAGGGCATCTTATGAAGCAAGAGATAGACGCCCTTCTTACGATTCAAGAGACTCAAGAGACAGACGTGATCGTGATGACGCCCACGCTCTCAATGGATCTAAAGAAACACGTAGGCGTGATGATAATGGTAATGACGGAAAGTCCCAACCGCACTACAACGGAGACTCGTATGATAGAGACTCCAGGCCTCCTTATAATAGAGACTCTAGGCCTCCATATGAAAGAGACTCCAGACCTCCCTATGAAAGAGACTCTAGGCGTCCTAAGGATAGAGACTCTAGACCTCCTCCTAATAGAGACTCCAGACCTTACGACGATAGACACCCTAGCTCATCCTATGAGAAAGACTCCGGCCCTTTCTATGATAGAGATTCCAGGGATTCCCACGATAGGGACTCCAAACCATCTTTCCACCACGATTCAGACCACGCCTCATCTCACAGCCATGACAACAACCATCGTCACGATCATTCCGATGACCGAACGTACAGCGAATACAGAGGTTCATCAGACCGTCCGGACGCCGAGTACAACCCGCTAGGTGGCAGCCGCGAATACTATGGCGCCAGCCAAACTTCACGAGATGGCGTTACCGAGAAATACATGATTGCATCAAACGGTAACCGGGACGGCCGCGAAGATGATAGCGACACAGGTCGTCACAGATCCCGTGATTCGGGTGATCGTTACAGGTCTTAATTGTCTTCCGTGCATTTGCGGTCGAGCGTCATTCGTCATGCGATGTCAATGAGTTACAGTTTTATCTGGGGGGGGGGGTCGCGATTAAACTCGCATTGTTTATATAGTGATCGGTTAAGTTTAATACCTGTTATGTTTATAATAAAATTATTTGAATAAATATATATATATATATATTTGTGTGTGTGTGTACCGGATGTTGAATTTAGTAGAACAGTTTTATCTAAAGAAGTGGTCTATTTCATAATTTTAGAATTTATCTAGTAATACATGGAGAGACAGAGGGGGACATAGGGAAAGAGGCTAGGGCCAACGAACGAACACATAATTTAGTGCGTGAGTGAGTGAGTGAGTGAGTGAGTGAGTGAGTGAGTGAGTGAGTGAGTGAGTGAGTGAGTGAGTGACTGCGTGAGTGAATGAGTGAGTGAGTGAGCGAGTGAGTGAATGAGTGAGTGAGTGAGCGAGTGAGTGAGTAAGTGAGTGAGTGAGTGAGCGCGTGCGGTACGTGCGTCTGTGCGTGAGTGAGTAATAGAATGAATGAGTGAGGGAATGTGGTCGAGGGCGCGCGCATGTGAGAGAAAAAGAGAGCGCAAAATATACGGTCGCGTGTGAGGGTGTATATAATATAGATGTAACGGCGTCAGCACTGATGGGTTGCTACGTTCTCATTAACAAATGGTCGCGTGCTTGCATTGTATATAGTTGGTTTTTAAGTTATTGTCAATTGTTGGATAATTACCACGCGTCAAGCTACGCCCAGGCCATTAGACTCATCACACATCGGTTGGCCTATAATGATTATGAAACGAGTTTACTGACCTTTCACTACAGGCATATTATTACCTTACCGCACCGAAGCAATTGACACCGTCAGTATTATTCACCCTGCAAATTGTTCGTGTTATTTTGCTCTATCAGTTTTGCTTGATGGTTACGACAGTAATCGTAGTCCCATTATAATCTTATTTCCGTGTCATCAGTTCCAGACTTTTATTACCTGTCAAAACACGTGAAACATTTTGCGAGCTCGAATATTAGTATAAAAAACGTAACGTAAACGCGTATTTTTTTTATTTAAGTTGTTCACAAAAACAGTATTATATTCTTCCCTGCAATCGATTTAAGGCGTGGAAGAAAAATTACAGCTTAACTGTAAATGCACTACTAAAATGCATATGACTACGGTCTATACTGCCTAACTAATTTCTTAGCCCATGATTATAACATATAGGCACATCTACCTCGGATGGATTAAGGCATTTGCCGATATGCTGCATCGTATTATCTCGAGAACAGACTACAAATGCTTGCGTTTCACTGTTAGCTAGCCGTTATCAATGATTTCATATGCAAACGTACAATCTAATAATTATATAATAATCGATAAGATAATAACATATATCCCAAAAAATGAGAGTCGAAATTATTCGCAATAACATACTTAATGATTATAATATTAAGTATTACAAATGATAATTTGTGGTTTCCGTTTATGTCCAGTGATAACATAATATAGTCACTATAATACGACTGTGTTAGATGGTAGTATAATTTGTCTACACAATAAATTAAACGTTCACTATGATGCCCCTTTAACACTGTACAATTAAATAAAAGCGTGAATTCGAACATATGTAAAAATTCAAACTCGTACGGCAAAGTCCGGAAGACTTCTATAAATATCTTAAAATTAAAAAAAGATAGAAATAAAGCGACGTCCATCTAATTTGAAGTAATTTGAAAAGGTTAGCATCTATCTCGACACGGGTGCTTGTCAAATGTGTTTACAATGTAACCTCAAAACGCGTGTAGGTTAAAACAATAAGGAACGGGTTACCAAGTGTCATTTTACCCGTTTGATGTCATACATGTTTGTATTATTCATTTACATTATATAAATTTGCAATGATTTCACATGCTACACCGTACTATTTTATAGAATAGGCACGTAAACTTTGCAGTGAGTGAATACACACAGTCTTAACATATATTCTAGGAATTATGTAGATTGACGAAGCGAATCTGGTAACTCCGAAGCTGGTAGACTTGCAAGATTTTCATGTAGACATGCATCGGATTATGCATGTTCTGTACGTGTGATGTGTCAGCTGTTAAAAGTCGATAAAAATGCACAACCACACCATATGCTGCAAAACATATACGTTGTCTGCAAAGGCTTTAGCCACAGGTAGGCCCTACAGCTGTAATATCACGCTGAACACTTTTAGTGGAACAGTTTCGAGCACACACCAACCAATTAATATAATATGCTTGTGAATTATAGTTATGCTCGCATGTTTTACACAACATGGCGTTACATATTAAATGAATTTCTACAGGTCCACATGTAAAATACGTAAATTAAATAAGTGCACTACCAGGTGCTGTTAACTGATAGCAAAACCAATATTCACGAGTGCTATTTGGCATGTTCATGCACATGGACTTCATTTCTATTCAATAAAAAATAAACTAGTATAGTAGCCTTTCGTGTAGATAATATACAGTGCTATCAATAACATTATAAATTAAAATCGATATAAGAAAAAGAGAGCGATCAGCAATAACTCTCTATATAACAGAACTATCATCGGATCATGTACATGGGCCTATATAATATATATACGTGGTACTCCTATAACTAAGGAATAGCGATCCAACCCATCTTATTCCTTACAAATCTCACTGCGAATATATGCATGCTATACAACCACTGTAATCTCGCACGTTTATACAATATATCACGTCACTGATTCATTGTTTTTCTGATGAAAGCAAATCGGTCCTCCCACCTCAGGCATACTCGACAATAGCCATGAACTACTTGAGTTAACATAATATCAAGAGCTAATAACCACAGGTGTTTATTAGCTCTTGATAATACGTACAGCAAGAATTCATCTGTCGTCAAAAATCGGAAAGGCGATACTACGGAAAGAGATGTACTTTCTGGTGGATTCGCTACAAATGTTCATCTAAATGTGATATGATGAGCATTTTCTCCGCGTCTGCCCTTGAGATGATCATGCCTAAGGACTCAAATTATTATATCAGTGCGCGACGTATCCCGCACTGAATTAAACGAATTCGCATTTCGCCAACCTCATTTACGTTGAGCAATAAGGCTATGATTGCCGAATGCTATCAACGTAGACGACCGTCGTTATAAGCCAGTTTTGCCTACGTTGCTATAGTAATATAAAAGTAACGATGAAAATTTGATGCACTTAACAGCTGGCCGGTTCCAGCATTTATAGATTTATACATACATCATAGAGCCGTGGCCTACGACCGTACGTACGATCGTAGAACCGATTACAGATATTAGGATTTTTTCCGCGATGTCCCCTCGCGTCTCGCCGTTTCCCGCGTAACATCGTTGAGCACACAAATTGATGACGTCATTCGAATCGGAGTGGCTACGAGCGAGAATCGTGCGATGCGCGTTTGTCCTGCAGAAGGCGACCGCCGGGACTGTCCTTCGAGCGTTGTCGCAGGTTGTCCTGCATGCCATTCTTCAGGTGGAATCCGATGATAGAGAACAGCTTCTTCCAGATGTTCTCGACGCTTGCGTCCCAACTTCCGTGGTCTTCTAGTATCGGCTTAACGGCGAGGATAAACTGGGAGCCAAGAAGCTGCGGGCGAAAGAACGCACGAGACTTTCTCAGTGAGCCAAGAGCCTCTTAGTGAGTGAAGAGAAAGTAACGAGAGAGGTCGTGCATTTCATTAACGTACCAAATCATGTCGGAAATCATATTTCTCTCTCTCTCTATGTGTATCTATCTATCTATCTATCTATCCATCTATCTATCTATCTATCTATCTATCTATCTATCTATCTAT